ATCACCAGTACGTTCTGTTTTAAAATGAGGCTCTTGTGTGATTTCATTTAAGTGATCTTTGATCCATTTTTATCTTCTCCTAAGTTTGTGTTTTGCAATTTCTTGCTTCTTGTGTGTATCCAGAAAGAAATCAATGTAGTTTTGTGTTGTTGTTGCACCCACAAGCCTACAGTGTCTGTTATTACTGTGCGGAGGATCTGTAACTCTCTTTTGTTTTTAACATTTAGACCATTATCTGTGGTCGGCACAACACAAATCTATTCCCTCATGATGTGCATGCTGTAAATCTAGTACAAACTTTGCTAACAAGCTGACTGCCAAAGGCCTGTGTGTTAATGTGTGTGTGTTAATGTGTGTGTGTGTGTGTGACTGGTCTCTGCTGTGTGCCATCTTACCGTTCTCCAGTATTCCTCATCTGACCTCTCTTTACTCATCTCCCCACCCCCACCCCCACCCCTCACACATCAACCACCCACAGGCTTCACAAGAGACCTTATGAGGATCATTTGACTGGAATGATATTGCTAATGATATGCTGCTTTAGGCTTTTTAGAGTGGGGCGAGGGGAGGACACGCAATTTGTTACACAATCCTCAGTAGAGAGTTTATTGTGCTCCTGAAGGCTCCTTGATTCAGTTATTAAATCTGTTATTCTAAGCTGTAGAATTTATCACTTTCAGGCTTATTAACCTAAATCTTTTTGTTTTTTAATAATTACTTGTGAACTCATACGGATGCTGTTACACAAGAAGTCAGTGCGCCTTTGCATCATCGAAAAGCTGTGATTGCGGTTTTTTACAGGACCAGTGTGTAGGATTTAGCAAGTAGTTGCAGAACGCAACTTCCTCGCATCACCCTCCACAAAAGGAGAAGCTACATTGGTCACGAAATGTGCAAAAAAAAAAACACAAGCGCCCCCAGAACCAGTGTTTGGTTTGTCCTTTCTGGGCTACTGTAGACACATGGCGGTTCAACATGTTGGACTGGAAGGAGACCTGTGGCGTCTGTACATAACTCTTAGGTAACAGACACATAACAGTTCCTCTATTCAGGTGATTATACGCGATTAAAAACATACCTGTGAATTTTATATTCCATTTCTGCCGATAGATCGTCGTAAATGTTACACACTTCACCTTTAAGGCCAATATTGATCATTGATTTAATGACAGCAGGGTTGATTCATCGGATATCAGTAGTTCCTGTTCACAATCTTTTTGTCCTTGTTTAAACTACTCTTATAGTTGTGAGTTTACCATAAATAATGAATTAAAATAAAGTAAATAAAAGTGTGAGAATATACAGTTTCATTCAGAAATTGTGCCTTGTTTATTTTAACTTTGGGCACGTTTATAATTCAGTATTACTGTTTCTTGACTCGAAGTCGAATCTCATTGAGGTGATTTAATTTTTGTGTTGTTATGTTGCAAACGTCTACGATCCAAAGTAATAATTCCAAGCAAATAGTCATTAAAAAACTAACTAAATCAGTTTTGGAACATAATTCCTTGCAGTAAACATCATTTTAATTATTTTATGTGATGTTTGCAAACATTTTGTTCATTGACATATATATCAGTATCAGAAAATTATGAATATTGTGATGTTTCAGGCCACCTCTCAGTCAGCTGATATTCCAGACAGCAGAGCATTTTATATAATCTGATGATAAAACTGAAATTTTACCTGACAAACATTATTACGAAGAAACTGGTTTAGGAGATATTGAGAAATGGAGATATATTAAGTTGCAGCTTCTCATAATGTGACTGTGACACTAAGGACATACAAACATTTGATTTATAAAAGAGGCATCAAGACTATATTACATATACCTCTGACACAAAACTAACCCAAATAGAGACAAAAAACCAAAAACAGTAATTCTCCAAAAGGTTTTGAAAGTGTCAGGAACGTGAACTCGCCAGTAAAAACAGTCAGAATGATGTTTACTTGGTTGCTTGAGCTGTTTTCGTAATTGTTTTTCTGTCTAACAGTAATTTTATAACCAATGAATGAATAATTTTAAATATATTCTAATATTTGCTGCTTACAATTGATGCACAGTTGATCAAAGGATCCATATTCATTCCCACCAAGATTGATGTCACTACATTTCTGATTACTGTTACTTTCTTGTTTTGGCAGGGGACAAGAAGTAAGGGGACAATGCGAGTCCACGTGCACACCAAGTTCTGTTTCCTGTGTGTGTTCACCTTCCTCTTCAACCAGTGCAACCACTGCCATGGAGAAGGGCACAGCCATCAGCACGGCGGACATCACCATGCTGACCACAACCACACCCACAGTGACCTGCAGATTTCTGAGGCTCCATACGTGAAAGGAGCCAGTCCGGCCCCGGAGTCCAAGAGTCCTCAAGGGCACTCTCTAGAGGAGGAGCAGCGCTTCTACATCCAGGAGCTGTTCAGGCGCTACGGCCAGAAAGGCCGGCTAGATTTCCAGGGATTTCAGAGTCTGCTGTTCAGCTTGGGTCTGGGTGAAGTGAAGGTGGTAAGTGTGGATCATGAGGATCTGGGCCATGACCACGTAGCTCATCTTGACCTGCTTGACATGCAGGAAGGTCTTCACTCCCATTCAGCCACCAGTGAAGACCACAGCCATGGTCACAGGCATGGGCATGGTCATCCACACCACAAGCCCGGCTCCCACCATCCACACACAGAACAGGTTCCCACACGGTGCAGCCACCAGACTACTGCTGCCAGTCCAGCTACTGGTGCATCTACAGGACATGACCATAAACATGATCCCGCCCACGATCATGGGCATGATGCAGGGCATAATCATGATCACGCCCAGGTAGAGGATAGTGACCATAAACATTCTGATGGACATGTGCAGGACACACACGATCACGATCACGACCACGATCACGATCACGCACATGACAAAGAGCACAAACCTGAGCAGGTACAGGTGCACTCTGACAACAAGGAGCTTTCTGCTCAACCTCACGGTGATCACGAACATCACGATCACAGTGGTCACGACCACGACCATGTCCATGAAGTGCAGACAGACGTGCCTCCCATCAACCAGGGACAGCAGCCCTCTCCCCAGTCGGAGCCAACCCAAGTTCCTCAGGAGCCAAAGTCTTCTCCCGCAACCACAGAAAGCCGGCCTAAGAAGACAAGAAAGCCCGCTAAAGACAGAGGACCGAGAGGGCGAAACAGAACCACTTCTCATCTCACACCTCTGTCTGATGACCACGACCATCAGTCTGAACACAGTCACGACCACGACCACGGTCACGGTCACAGCCATTCTCATAAAGATAAGCGAGAAGCACCAGGAGCCCCTCCCAACCCCACTTTGCCAGCCCCCCGGCAGCCTGGCCATCCGGCAGGGTTGTCTCATCAGCATGAGGAGGTACGATTAGTTTAAAGAAACCTCAATATGAACAAATTCAACAGTTACCTGATATCAGTAAAACATCTGAAACATAATATAAAAGGTAAAATGAAGCAGCAAGTGTTCTGCTGATGATGCTTGACAATATCTTGGCCACCTTCCAAGATTTCACACTGCGGTGTTTTCTTTGTCATGCTAACTGTTTGCATACACAGAATTTTGGGATAGAAATGTTGAGTCTTTTCTTGTTACTACTACTACCGCTACTACAGCAGTGGTCATTAATGAAGATTTGAAGTGTTTCCTAACGCACTCTGACAAATCCCTTAAAGGGATTTTGTTGTTCTTACAACCGTAACACCAGAAAATCTTCAACTTTGCTTAAGAAGCAGCTTGGTTTATTAATCAGAGTTGTAAGTGTAAAAAAAACGATCTAAAACTGTACAAGTGATAACTTTACAAAAAAGTGTTCTTTAGGGTTAAAGCTGTAGGTACTTTTTGGTTTGTTTCCTTAATGGAGAACAGCAGCTAGAGTTAAAGTAGTTGAGAATATGTCTGTTACAAGTGAGTTATGTTTTCACATTAAAAACAAGTTTACAGGGCTGAGTTTTTGATATTTTAAGGATGCGCTGACTACACGGTCAGTGGTTTCTTACCCTCACACTGCACCTTCTCCTTCCAGTGTTTGAACCTGACGCAGCTCCTCACCTACTACGGCTTGAATCCCGATTCGCTCATCTCCCCCACCCAGTTCACCTACCTGTGCCCTGCCCTGCTCTACCAGATAGATAGTCGCGCCTGCATCCGCCACTACCACCAGATGGATGTGGAGCAGGAAGCCTTGGAGCCCCCCAGTTCCGGTAAGGGCCAAGTATTTTATTGACCCGGTCCAGAAAGAAGCAAACAAAGATTTAAATTTCAGTGTCAACCTCAACACCGATTAGAGCTCTGTCTCGGCGCTTGAAATTAATAATTTCCTGTTGTCCTGGGGAAAGATACAGCGACTGGGACAATTGTAGTTATTACAAACCAAATTCTTTTTATGTTTTCTAATTGTTCAGTGTTCAAATTTGTGAGGTCGCACTGACCCAAACTCTACACTACGTGACCTCTGCACAAAATTAATTATAGAGACCAACTTCATGACTTTCACGCTACATTTAGAGACTTTTCAGACTGACTTTGTTTCTGTGTAGCATCTAGCGACTAATTCAGACCATCAGGGAAAAGGTGAGAGATATATTCAAAGATATAAAAGATTCAACGACTCTTCTGGCAGCAGTGTCGGCGTCTCTCCTTCTCCTCAGGCAGTCGGTGGATCTCTGCATTAGGCTGTTCCCAAAGCTTGTAAATATATCATTTTTATAATATCTTTACTTTCAATATGCCTTTGCCGTTTCATTGAATTTGTGAATATGTAAAGTATGTAAACAAATTACAGAAGTAGTTTATTGATGAATGTTTTGTGTGACAAAACCACATTATATAATGATAATTAATATAAGAGATAGCCCGGCCTACAAATCTCGTTTTCTTTAGATTTAAGAGAACATGTTTGTTTAGTAAAGACTGCCAACAATCTCACATTATCAGGATTTTATTTGTTTTTTCAGTGAAAACTTAATTTGTGATGCAAAAATGATAATTCCCACACTAATCACAATTCATATCGCGATCGCAAAATCTGTCAAAATAATCGCAATAAGATGTTTTTACCATTATCGTGCAGCAGTTTGTAGGGATGCATTTATTCTTTAAACAGTAAGTTAACCAATGACAAAGAATAATGAAAACTGATTGTGGCTACAGCTAGTGTTAGAGTAATATATATATAGTGATGAGGAAAGTGAAAAAGATGACTGTCTGTCTGTATGTGGTGCCTTCGGCTAAAGAAAACCGCTATCTTCATAAGCGAGAAGCCACAGGAAAGCGTTGAGATTATAATGTGATGCTATCAGGATGGAGATTCTCTCTTGGGGAAGAGTGCATAATAGGATGTGTATTTGAACTAATCAAGCCATATTTTATAGTGATGATAATTTAAGTGAACCAGGCATTGTACCTACGATCCCTCCGGGTATTCCCACCATTGTTTGACCAATCTTCTCATTTCAGTACATTGATAGAAGACTTTTTCTCCCAATTTTCTGCTATTCAGAGCAGCACTGAACGCTCACCAGTGCATCATTTTAACACCGGCAGAAGTCAGCTCAAGTTTCTTTAAGGAATTCGAGAACAAAGTTGAGACCCTAAGGCAGGGATGTCAAACCGCCGGCCCGCGGGCCTGTTCCGGCCCTTGATCCCACTCCCTCCGGCCCGCGACATGATGTCCAAAAATATAATATAATCCGGCCTGCAAGATATGTTTTTTAATTGATACAGCTACAGAATTTTAAATACCGATTCCTTGAAGAAATAGCGGGTAATGGTCAGAGGCTTTTTTTTAATTAGCTTTTATTTTATGAGACATTTTATGTTTTTCAACACTAATAAATCTGACAAAACCCTCTGACCATTACCAGCTATGTAGTTATTGATAGAAAGCAAGAAAAAAGTTCTGACTTTATTTGTTGGATCTAAAAAGAATATGCAAATGAGTGCATATTTATTCTTATTTATCTCCTATTTATTTCTTAATTTAATAAAAGTTTCATCCTGATGGAATAAAAGGTTTTTTTTTTTTACCCCTGTTCCTGAGTGGTGCCTGACATTAAATACCCACTGCCATCTAATAAGGTCAACCATTGAAGTCTTTATAAAGTATTGTCCTGGGTTAGACTGGTATATGTACTGAATTATTGGCCCATAATTTAGAAATAATTTGTCCTTGAAATGTATGATTACAAAGAATGGCAACCCTGATAACAGATCTTTGATCTTGATAACACTTTAGTACGCAGCCACACTGCCACATAGTTATCTCGGCACAATCACATGTTATTAACCTTTCATTATACTCAGAAAGGTTTCTCAAACCCACATGAGTTTTTGTTCAGGAAATCTTGTTTCTTATTCATGTTTGTACACTTCTGGAAACTACTTTGGCTGTCTGTGACTAAATGACTTGCTCATGTACACATTAATAGATGCAGTGGGCGAACACAGGGTTATTTTTTGTCCTGTTGGATAAACTCCAGTGAAATTCATCCACCTGCAGACGTAAATGTGGACGGCATTAAATAAAAAACAGCTCGAGTCTCGGCCCGAACGGACTGTGAATGCTGAAACTCTTATCACGTTAACTACTGTAGCGTAG